TTATCACATATATTCTGAGCAATAAAATGGGCGAAATTTTCTTTGCATACCATCAATGCACAACGCATCGTAGAGATTGGGAATAAATTGAATAGGGAAGTGACTAGCGTTAAGTAAGAAAAGAATTGTGTTTAAATATGTAGTCATAATATTTTCTAATAAAATAATCCAAATGAATTGCCTTTTTTAATGCATACTATTCTCTGTTCATTCTTTCAAGAAATGTTTCTCGTCATATTTTTTCAGCACTTGATGACAATTGTACCAATAACAAAATAATAAAGATCAAAACGGGGGAAAAGTGGAATTTATTATTCAACGGTAATTATTCTATGTATGTTCATGTCAAAGCCTCAAATATTTACCATAACCATGCATAATTTCATATACATTCATGTTTTATGTGATAGATTACATTTTCAAATTTCAGGAAAACTGGAGTCTTGCAAGCTCTCCACGGACGGTGGAACCTTTTTTTAAATCGCTTTTTTTTAATGGTCATAGGAGTAATGAATTCTGAGAGTTGTAATTATTTACAAGTGAATATGACAACATTTTTAGTCAGTATTTGGCCCATTCAATAAACAATGGTGGGACCTATTTAATTTGTTCAATTAATCTCTCTCAGTTTCAGGCTTTTCCTCACGTTGAAATCTTCAGAGAATATATAAACAAAAACGTATTTACTTTATTAAAATAATATAAGCGATTAATTGTAGGGTGTGAGTAAAACAATAACACTTTCAATTGGAAGAAGATTGTTTATAAACGGAAATTTCTGTAGTGAAATTGAAAAAAAAGTTTTACAAAAAAAGTTCTTATGGATATTACTCCAACTCCCCTGGTTTCTGATATGCTTATCACAAATCCAACCTGGTGAATAATTAATTGACTTACCTCGTTTTATCATTTCTGTACAGAATTGGAAAGAGAGAGATAGTGCTTTGGTTGTTATTTGCGCCTATAACATGACATCAAATTGTAATCAAATATTGATATAAAATACTTTTCATAGAATTCATCGGCGGCGGATTATGTCCCTTTTTGTGGTTATGTTTTGGATAATTAGCAAATCCTAAAATACATTCTCCTCTATGTAACGTCGTTATTTCTGGAAGTATAACCATTTTCAGTACATTTTCACTGCATTTCCACATCTAGACGGCCCGTATTTTCAAATTTTCACATGAAAATCAATGTTTAATAATAAACAACAGAGAAGTTACACCAACTAGCGATTCGGTAACTATTACCAAATCCTCCAGTTGGCTCAACCTTAACCTCTCAACTGAGCCGTTCGGTAACTATCAACGGGCCATTCAATTGTTCTTATTTTACTGCGACATTAGGTAACAGTTACCGAGCCTGTGGAATATCAACCGAATCCTTCTATCAATAAAGTACAAATGTTAACGAACATGAACGAGAGTTTCAACCAATTAAAAATGAAATGACTTGAAGGAAAAATTATTTACTGGGCGGACAAGATCCCGTCTGAAAACTAAAACTAGATAATGAAATACGAAGTCTCTCACGAGCCATAACTCAAAAGACTTTAACACGCATCCTAGACACCAAAGATTAGAGATCCTGACCTTACAAAATAAAAATTCACTAGCCACCACGATAGCCAAAGTCCAAATACGAAACAACTCGAAGACCCAAAGAACTCTCGGCTGCATGGCAATCAGTTCAGACGTTCCAATAAATATCAAAATGCCGTTGAACCGGAGACTCAAAGAGCACACCGAAGTTCAAACATATCTTTCCAAAACGTCATCTTACGAAAAAAATATGACAGACGTACAAAACAATCGCACGCTATAACTACTAAAACAGAAGTGATCACCCTAATTATGACAGGTATTAACGCGCAGCAATAAATGTTATTGGCCCCCGCAATGCGACTATAGAACTCTAATTATCATTGGTCCCAGAAACTCACGCCTGCGCTCTATCGAAATTACGCCTGCGCGTTATCAAAATGCGTTTAATAATTACTTATTTCAACGGAACGAAGTTACAAATTATGAATCGGATTATATTATCGACTGATAAACAGAGATCGGCACAAATATTTTCAACAATATTTGCCCCACAAATACATATTTTTTGCTTAATTACTAATAACGTGTAAATAATTTTCATTATAGAACCGACTGTAATGGTTAGGTGAGTGGGGTGTAGCTCCGGCGGACATCCAAGCTAAGCAGTGTTGAGCTGGGTTAATACTTGGATGGGTGACCGCTTAGGAACCCCTCGCTCGCACAAAAGTTGCGGGCGGTAGGTACGGAGTAGCGGCCTAGTGTCTGCATCTGGTCAGTGTGACAGATGGATATATTAGGGCACTGCACAATCGGTCGGTTGTGCAACTGGGGTTTTACATGGTTTCCCGTGCAGTCCTAGCTCGAATGGGGCACAGCTACGAGTAAGACAGCCATGATACCGCAGATAACAATGAGAGGAAAAAGAAAGGAAGGGAAGCAGGCTAAAGGAGAGGTTTGAAATCGAGAATTACTTCGATAGAACCAATGAAATAGAAAAAAAATACTTTTCATTATATTGTGAATGAGTATTGAGAATTTTGATTTTTTTTAATACCGTGTGGCATATTGGGATCTGACTCGCATCTCATTCATCCAAAATAAACTGTCGCCTCAGCGCCATAGCCTCACGGTCAAGTATCAAAGCTTTACATGACCCAGTGGATATTCCAGATTCGACCCCCCGCGAAATTGGCGAAACCCGGTCAAGGCCAGGGGGTTTCGAGTGGCGACTCATAATATGTTAATAATGTGCTTTTTATGTACCGAAGAAAAAACTTTTGCACCAAATTAGGTCTTTTTAAAATTGCATCTGACGGTTTGGGCGCAAAATTATGATTGTTTCACTGAAGTTGCGTTATCTACTAATTATGTGTTAATTATGTACCAATGGAAAAATTTCCCAGGTACCATTAATTTTGTGGAAATGAGTCAGTAAATATTGGAAGCATGATTTGGGCGATTTAATTGGTGGACGTTAATCTACCAATTATGGGCTCTTTATGGACCATCCATCGGTTTCGGCAGGAAAGATGAGAGTAGCAACAATTCCTGCAGCGAGGTGCGAAATTTGTGCTGTGCTTCAAGAACTTGTCTCGGATTTATCGAGAAAGTTTATTCCTGGTGCTGGCACGTGAATTTTTGTTAGTCCGTCAAAATCAATCCATTTTACCATGCTAGCCTAGTAAATTTTCTGGTATTTTTTCTCCGTACCTATGCGTATAAGTTATGGTTTTAATCCGGAACATTCTAGTGCAACGAGGAAACTGCGTGTGAAATTTCAAGTTTATTAACTATAGATTTTTGTAAAAGTGAGAGTGCCAACAAGGATTTTGAGCGAAAAACCGAGAAATGAAAATATCTCAAAAACTTTGTATGGACGGTAAAACTCAATAAAAGACATTGAAACGAGTATTTTGAAAAAAAAAAAATATTGATATCGGTTGAGTAGTTTTTGAGCTATTTGCGAAAAACTATTTAGAAACAACTGGTGATTTCTCAAAAACGGCTGCATCGATTGGAGTGGAATTGAGCACAGAGTTAGAGTTCTCATTAACCCCGCTGTTTGCATACTTTTTGTACCACACGACCCTGCTGTTTGCATAATTCTCCTCTTGCGCTTTTGTCCCTTCCACTAATGCATCTTCCCCCGCCTTCCCTCTAAAACAACCAATCGGGCGTGACGACCACGCGGGACGATTCAAAACAAACATGTAGGTTTTTACATAAATTTTATATCCAAATATTTTTCTTCACTGGATTTAGTTTTTTGACCTGCTGAAATCCGAGTATTGAGATCCCGAAATCGAATGGATAAATCGGTTGAGTTGGTGGATAAATCATGAGGATTACCTCGTCTCAAAATGTTTTGAATATTATTCAGAAAAAAATGTTCTCCCTCGGCAAATGGAAATTTTTGTGTCTTATGTGAAAAAATCATTTTAAAAAAGGTCAATACGGCGCCAATGAAGTCGGTTTTTTCATAAATGACTCGCATATCATATAAAGGACCTAAAAAAATACGTGAAACACGAAAAAAATAATTCTCAGTAAGCAATATTGAAAATACCTTGTCAAATCTGTTATTTAGAAATCTTTATTGATGAAACCGTTGCAAATAAAGAAAGATGTGTCAGGACTTGCCAAAAGAACAACGTTTCCTGGCCGCAAGAGTCGAATCTCCCATTGTTTATTAAGAATTTGTTGGTAACAAAAAAAATGTGTATTTTTAGGTATATTATATTTTTTGTTCAAAACTTTTTCCCCATCTGTCACCGTCTCCATGATATCATCGTTTGAACAATTCAATTGTTATAAACAAACAAACAAGACCACAAGTACCAATAGTAGCCCGGATTTGCATTCAGCTCCATCTAAAACGTAAATTCCAATAATAAAATATACTGGACCTCGTAATACATTCAGAAACAAAGCTCGTGTAATGACCACACTGATACAAATGGAAACGAGTGGACAATGGCATTTTTTTCTAAATTACTGTAGTAATTGTTGCTAATAAGTAATTGATTTCGTTCCGGATGGATTCTCTCTTGAAATTATTATTTCACTATTCTCTTCTTTCATTTTTTCTGATCACAGTATTATCATCGATTCAAATGTTATAAAAATTTTGCGCATTATTTCGTTCTATCAAATAATTCTATATTCAGATACTCTCAAGACTCGAATTCGTTATCTGTCCGGGTTTAATGAAGATTCAATCAAGGTTTAATCAGTGCATAGCCAGGATTTAATCAGGGTTTATTCAGGATTTAGCCAGAGTTTAACCCAGGTATGGTCAGAAGTTAGTCGGGATCATGAATCACTATGAAAACGTATTTGTGACGAGGTTGAACCCTCGTCTAGTAGAAACTAGTACAAATAAACCCGGAGATTTATTACCAAAATAAATTAACCCAATGATTATCTAATAACGGATGCGATGGGAACTCTCACCTTCCTCCCTCCTATTAATTAGTCATTGAATAAAATTGTACACCACAAAATCGTCCACTGAGTTGAGATCATGCCCACAGCCTGAGAAGGATGTTGAAGAACGAAAGAGGAATATCCTCTCCAGTGGGAGGCTGTTTCGTGTCGCGAGGTATCTTGAGGGACACATTTGAAGTAAAAGAATCTGGAGAATTCCGGAAGAAGTGAGCCATCACCTGAAAGATAGTAAACAGGTGAAAATATCCGGATCAATGTAAACTAAAGTCACTGGAATAACTCACACTGGATAAAGGTGACAGTTGAGGGTTAGGTTGCCCATGATTGAGTGACACATGATTGGAAAATCAGCCGAAGCAAGTATAATTTGTCCTAAATCTACCCGGAGAAAAATAAACACTACCTGAGATCCTGATGACAGTTGGAGGTTATGTGGATTCGGAGTGATCAAAGGATGTGTCAATAACCCGGACTTCTGCCGAGTTGACCTAGTGAGGCCGATAACCCGGGCCTCTGACGAGTTAACCCAACTCATTAATCGTTCTTAACCTTGATATTGACGGCGTTGGGGTCAAATAATCATCCAATCCGGAGTCAGAAGCTGAATATAGGAGAACGAATTATTGAGATGATCGTGAAAGCGCTGAGGGTCAAAAAAAACCCCCAATTACCTTGACATTTACGTATCTGATTAACCCGGAGAGATATAAAGTGACACGTTGGCGCTCTCCCATTGGCGAGGACAATTGGAGTAGAAGAACAAGCTACAACCCGGACCTGGACAACGCGATTCCAGCCATCTTTCATCACTTTGGATCGTACGGCACCCTTGTTAGGAACACAGTGGTGACCACTATAAACTCAATTAGAATAAGTAGTAATAAAGAGAGTGATTAAAGTACGAGTTTTCTCCTATGAGATCGGAGAGTAGGCCTGGATATTCTAGTCCAGTGAATGGTGTCTGGAAATGCATGGTTTTGAAATACAGTTTGCGCTTTTGTATATAAATCAGTTTTTTTATTGTAATCGACATGAGACCAATCAGGGTGGGGTGGAAAAAATTGAAAATTACCCCCAAAAACGTGTTTTATAAAATAACTCGAGAAATACTCAAGTTACGATGTAAAAGGTGAAGAACAAAGTTGTAGAGCGCGAAATTCACTACAAAAAAGGTCTTGACGACTTCACCACTATTCTGCATCGTTCATCTCCCAGAGCCGTTGGAAAATGTGGGGGGAGAAAAATGAAAAAAAACATCGAAAAAAAAACTTTTTTCAATTTTTTCGTCTTGCTGAACGTTCAAAAAGGTTCCAGCTAGTCTAATTTCTTTCCCCCCATTGGGAAGCAATTTTCATGTAATTACAACTTAAAATTGAGTATAACTGTTTTGTTCATCGATGAATTTTTTTTTTTTTTCATAATTTTTATTATAATTTTTCCGACAGTTTTTGTAGGAAACATTTTCCTCTATCTCCGACAGGTATTAAGTTGAATGCGATTTTCTATTTCTACCTCTCCAGGTAGGTTCTGACGAAGAACCCCTGGTGCGAGAGAGAACACAATGAGTATATGTTGGCGCCGCTCGCACGCACACCAGCCTCTCTCTGACTTAATGCGCTTGCGCGTGACATCACCGTATAATCGGAGTGTCAGAAATGAGCGTGCGACAAATTTTTGTATCTTCCCGAAAATTTGTGCCAAAAGGTCGTATAATGACCTCGTCAAGGGGGAGTGAATCTCCACGTTTCAGATGATTTTGAATCATCTGAGCGTAACTTTTAGGGACATTCTTTTTTCATTTTTTCAAGGGAGATTTTCAAATTTTTTCCGAATTTAAGCCAAAAGGTGGTATAATGACTTCTTCAGGGGAGAGTGAATCTCCATGTTTCAGATGATTTTGAATCATCTGAGCATAACTTTTGGGGACTTTTTTTTTTCATTTTTTCAAGGGAGATTTTCAAATTTTTCCGAATTTGAGCCAAAAGGCCGCATAATGACCTCTCCAGGGGAGAGTGAATCTCCACGTTTCAGGTGATTCTGAATCATTTAAGTATAACTTTTGGGGATCCATTTTTTTTTCTTTTTCAATGGGGATTTTCTAATTTTTTCAAAATTTCGGCCAAAGGATCGTATAATGACCTCGCCGGGGGAGAGTGAATCTACACTTTTCAGATGATTGTGAATCATCTGAACATAACTTTTGGGGGCATTTTTTTTTATGAAAGCGAACAAATACAGAGAAATTGAATGAAAATAATCAATTCTAATGTTTTCATATAAAATTAATGAGGAAATTGAGGTGGACTGATAAATTGATGGGGTATAAATTTTCGTAATTATATATCAAATCGATATAACTACTAAATTCCATAAAATTTCTTGAAAAATGAATGGCTTTTCTACTGAAAACTATAGTTCTCCTCCCAATTTCATTTGGAATCGCTCCGATAACCGATGAATTTCCTCTAGTATTCTCCTATTTTTTCTAGAATTTTATTTTTTTCATTCGTGAGTGCTCTAAATTCTATACGAGACATCAAATTTACGAGTTCAACTAATACCAGATAGAGATATGGGACATTCCATGTCAACTCAGCCATACCGGATGTTTTTTTGTCTGGGAAAAATCATTGAGTAGGTGCATTTTCAACTACTACATAGAGCCAGTGATCATGCAACATTTCATTGCCCTGCCACTTTTTGTTTCTGAGATAATCATTACAAAACTTGAAATTTTCAAAAAATCATTACTTCTGAATGGAGCATCCGATTTTGATAAATAAAAAAATAAAATTTTCGTCTTTTCTCGTACTTCAAGATGAAAATACTTCAGAGCCGTCAAGAAGCTCCTAGACCGGTTTTTCGAGAATTTTTCGTGTTCATTTTTTTTTCACTCTAGGGCCGCTCGATATTCGATCGAAATATTTTTTTTATGATAGAGGATATCCTTATATGATATGAAAAAAATACGCCATAATGGAAGAGCGAAGCAATGCACCGAGAAAAAATTTTTTTTTTCGAAATTTTTAGGTTTTTCAGTTTTTAGGGGAGATCCATCGATTTTTTTCAAAGAAATCAGTCTGTCAACTATTATTCTTTGTTCATATATGATGGCAAAAGAGTACGTCATTATATAAAAGAGAAAGAATGCTCCAAAAAATTTTTTTTTCAAAATTTTTACGTTTGTCTGTCGTTTAGGAGAGTTGCATTATTGTTACTGAAAAAGGGGTTTGTCAATAGACATTTTCTGTTCTGCTGAATAGAATAGACTATTGATACGACTATAAATATTTTCCAAACAACACACTGTGCTTTCCACTAACGAAAAAGTATGGGAAAAAAACAATTTTTATTCTTCTATAACGAAAACATTTTATATTTTCACATTTTTACATTTTTACAATACGGAGAAATTCTCCACTCTCTTCGACGACATGTTCCAATATGCACTGATGAATTATTTACATCACGATTACTGTCTTCTGCGGGGTTTTCGTTTTGTTGTTGTTTGTTTTTGCTTTGGGAAAACCTCCTCGTTAGCCGAAGCCGAATATCGTTTCATTAACAATTGCTCTTCCGGTATCGGAATAAAACAATGGTGTTTTTGAATGGCTGAAATAGCTTTGGCACTATCAAATCTCTCTCTCAACTCAGTTTTGATATTCTCGTGTTCTGCCTTGGTGAAAAAAAAACATCAATTCCTTCAAAATTCTATTTTGACCATCAAAACAAAGCATCTGGGGTGAGGATTGGTTCACCATGAACGATGTGTAAGCTCTTACGTCTCGCTTCTCTTTTAAAGACAGCTCCTACTCCGTCACAAGCTCCTTTACCGTGCGCGGTTGCATGAAAATGGGCTTCCGCATCTATGCCAAAATCAGTCTTGTGATACAAGAGATTCGTGATCTGAAAACGATTCTTGTGATGTTGTGCCCCTCCATCGATGACATAGATAATTTTCTCCATGCTTTCACAGTTCTTTCACATGATGTATTAAAATCTTCTGTATCAAATGAACAGCGGCAGTATCGTGAGTCGTACTGTCCGACAAAACGACTCAACTCCGATGTTGGATTTCATTTTTTTCGCTATAGTAGTAAACAACAGGGTGAACTGTAGACTGGTCATTATTGTAGTGAAAGGGTTGAGCAGCATTTTGAGCCACAAAACCGTAATTTTCCGAAAAATCACAATGCACTAGTACTTCTCCATTATCCAAATTCTCTTTTCGCTGTTTGACAAAAGCCGATTGTTCTTTAGCGATGAAGTGATGGGGCTTCAGTACTATCAATCGTTCCATTAGAAGATCACTGAATTCATCCATCGGGAGGGTCTGTGTCTGTAAGGCATACCTGTCAGTACTTTGCCACACGCGAAATTCGACCATTTCCACGACAGAATCAGAGAGAAGTTTCTTCAGTTCACATGATAATGATTTCACTCCAGGACAATCGTTACATTCATCCAGATGACAGGCCGGGGTTGGATTTGTACACATCAATTTTGCTAGACAATCTTTGTAATCTCTGAGTGGACAGGGGGAATCTTGAGTTAGAGTCGCAATATTAATTGCCTCTAGCATCAATTTGCAATTTTGATGATACGTACAAACACATACCACGTGAGTGCCATTTGCTCCCGCCACTACACATTGTTTAGGTCTCAGCTCGGCAAACTTACTGAAACCGACCTTAGCATCTTCATTCGCATGTTTGTACTTCCGATGAAGGACTTTTAGATTTTCGAGTATCATTCGCTTTTGCTCTACTTTCTTCTCTCCATTGATCTTGATGGATATTTTATCTTTCATTCCTTGCATGACGCGACTGTGCGCTAGGTAAAAATTGTGTACCTTCTCGACGGTCGTGCTGGGTAGTGAATGACCTGCTTTCCCAATTGGTGAAGTAAACACTCCTTCAATTTTTCTGAATCTTTTCGTTCTTGACGCCATGTATCTGGTAGTTCCAAATTCAGAAGCAATTTTCCGCGCAGTCCACGACTGTGGATGAACCGTCAAGATTTGCAGGCGCTCACGGTAGTTTTTCAGATCTTTGAATTTCTGCTTGAAACCATCCAACATTTCTTCTAATTCTATTTCTCTCGCAGATCGATACTCCTTAGATGAAGATGGATCAATGTCACTTTGGTCATCTTCCGAATCATAATCCATGGAAGAACTGTCGAATTCAGCTTCATCGTCTGGTCCGTCGTCGATTGATATGCCGGAATCATCAAGATGGAAAGATCGACCTGATCTCAGAGAACTGTTCATCACATCCAGACTTGGGTCACATGTTTCGGTTTGGAGCATTGATATATCGGGTGGAGTTTCCGAACGCTGAAGATGTGTAGCATTAAGTTTAAGCGTGGGGACAGATGGAGGAATGACATAAGTTGGAGCTCTCGTTCGGCATTGACCACGGATTTTCGCAGACAATGGTGAAAAAGGAAATTTCTCGTGTAGTGTCAAGGAAATCGGACGTAAATTATAACCGAGGTGTCCCTCCTCACCAGCAGCCCGCACATCTATCACTCCGCGGATTCGCACATCTATTACTCCGCGGCATTCTATGAAATCCGAAGATATCAATTCCGAGAATAAAGATCATTTCTATATAATCAACGTGAAAATTCCTTACCTCGTTGCAAGAATAGAATAAGATAGGAGCTCGGTAATCCATCCACACANACAGAATCGTATGGTGATAAAAAATCAATCGAGAAATTGAGGTTTTTTCTAGAATTAAAGCCTTGGAACTGACTGATGATGATATAGTTATTTTCATCACAAGGTCCACAAAGTATTTTCTGACGAATGTGGCTTTATTGGCCGAGCCGAAGGCGAGGCCTATA